CAGAACCCAAACTGCACAGGACTCAGAAGTGCTGACACTGCCTAGTGAGAGTTAGCTCTGAGATGGCCAGTGATTTAAAAAAAAAGGATTCTCAGCCTGGTTTCCTCTACCAACCGAGCCCATGCCTGGCCCTGTCTGAAAATCCAACTGCATGTTAATAGAGGGTTGGAAATAAAGGGCAGGATTTGAAGGGTAAAGTTGCCCCAAAAAGCTGGTCTTTCCTGCTTCTCACCTGGGGCGCTCCTGGGACTGCCCTAAGGTCTGGGGGTGGAGGGGAGGCTGGTCTCCATGAACCATGTGACAAGGACTGTCACTTCGGGTCCAGAGGATTTGGGACTGGGGAGGCTGAGGTAAACCTCAGTTTAACCTGAGTGGCATGACCGTCCTGGAGGGAGCTCCAGCTTCTCTGGGCCTTTTTTCATCTTTTAGGGCAGAATCATCCCTGCGCCTCTGCTCTGGCTCCACTCTTCTGGATGCCTGGATGCGGGACAGGGTAAGGTGGAAAGGCTGCGTGCCCGTTTGGGTATGAATGGTATTTATACTCTGGATAGAAGCACGAATGGGCACCGGCCCCCACTCCCGGCCCCCACCCGACCTGTGTTCCAGGCCCAGGCCTCCTCCCACCCAAGCCCATGCCTGCACCTGGGTTTGCCTCCGTCCTTCAGCCCAGCACCCATTCCTTTCTGGGTCCCGCCTACACCTGTGCATAGTGGCAGGGACACCTGTATTCTTCTTAGCTGGACAGGCTCTGTCGGGGCACGTCCTTGCTCCCTCAAAGTCACTTCGAGGTGTGAATGCAGGGATGGTGTGGGGCTGACCAGGACCATGAAGATGTGGCTGGAAGGACCGTGTCCCCTGCCAGCTTCCCATACGCCACCCGCTTCTGAGGAGAGGGACACTGGTCACCGATGAGGACGGGAGCACGTCCCACTCCATTCCCGCCCTCAGGTTATACACTCGCATGCTAGAAGGGAGCACGCGGAGAAGGAACATCATTTGAAAAAACATTTATTGGGCAACAGCTACCAGGTGAGAGCCCTTCCTCCCCGGCTGACAGGTGTGCTGACGCTGGGCAGGCTCCGCTCCCGGCTCCGGCCCATCTCCTCCTCATCCCAGAATTTCAGTAATTTAGGCCAAATTACAATTTATCTGTCTTCCTGGCTGGAAGGAGCAACGGAGGGCAGAGGCTGGGCGGACCGAGCGTGCTCGCCTCGTCCCCGCGGCAGGCAGCAGGCCCCGCAGAGCGGGCTTCGACGGCTTAGTGCCGGACGCGGCGGATGTACCGGGTTCTGCGGGGCATTTGCTAGAGCTTGTGTTTTGGACGGTTCTGCTCTAAAATAAAGGGTCGTATCTGGATGGGCTGAGGGTCGGGAACAGGAAGCCTCTTTTGGTTTTATGTTCTCTGAGTAGATTGTTCTGATCCAGAGCCACCACCAATCACCTCCCCTCTGGCCGAGGAAACCTTTGGACATTTTGTAGTTTGCTGCCCTCTGCTGGTTTGGGGTGATGAAAAGATTGCAGTTCCCTTTCTGATACTATCTTGTACACACGTGTATTTGTTTGACAGTTACACAGAGCAAGGCGCGGGACAAAGCGTGGGGCAAAAGAGAGACCCGTATGTGGTCTCCGCTTATGCACTTCCCAGGCCGGTGGAGGTGACTTATCACAGAACTTAGGTCCAGGGAGCCGACACACACCGTGGCTTGCAGGAAGGGGTTGCCTCTTACTTAATGGGGCTGCTTGGCCAAAGAGGTCAGGGGGCCCCGAGCTGAGCCTCTAGCAGTCTGATAACCAGAGTCACTTCCCTTGTGAAGGCAGAACTGATAAGCGCAAGTCAGATCTTTCAACTTTCCTCCGTCTTCCTTTCCCACTGAGTGCTTGTTACTGCCTCCAAAGAGCGTCTCCTTTCCCGACCGCTGAAGTGATTCGCTCGGCCTCCTGCGATGGGCTGGACAGTGCCCCCGCAAAGCCCCTCTCTTGAAGCCCTCACCCGGACTGTATTTGGAGACAGGGCCTCTTAAAGGGATTATTAAGTTAAAGTGAGACTGTTAGGGTGGGCCCTGCCTGAATCTGGCTGATGTCTGTATAAGAAGGGACACCTGGCCACAGGATATACAAAGGAAAGGACGTGGTGAGAAGGCGGCCGTCTGTAAGCCAAGCAGGGAGGCCTCAGGAGAAACCAAACCTGCCGACGCCTTGATCTCCCAGCCTCCAGAACTGTGACAAAATAACTGTGTTTAAGCCATGGTCTGTGAGATTTTGTTGTTGGCAGCCCCAACAAGCTAATACACCTGCTAACAAAATCCTTATTTCTAAGGGTAGGTGTTGCATGTTGAGGTTTTCAAGGACATCAACACACAGATTCCCTCCTGGGCCTGGCCAGTTCTACATTTGTCCATAGGATCCTTAAGACAAACACTGAGCAATTCTTTTTTTTTTAATATGTTTTTATTGATTTTAGAGGGGGAGAGAGAGAAACACTGATGTGAGAGAGATAATCGGTTGCCTCGCGCTGAACTCCCAACCTGGGCATGTGCCCTAACCAGGAATTGAACCTGTGACCTTCCGATGCATGAGTCGACACCCAACTGACTGAGCCACACTCGCCAGGGCCCCTGAGCAATTGTTTAATCTCATTTACTCTTCATAATGATCTGTTTTATAGATGAAGCTAACTTGCCCAGGGTCACCAGCAGAATTAAACTCAGTTCTGCCTCCAAGTGCCATCTCTTTCTCTTTAGTTGTGAGCAGCTGGCATGGGCCCAGGGAGGGTCAGGGGGCAAGAGCTAGAACCCTGTGCCTGTCTGGCATGAGCAAGGACAGACTGCCAGCAGGCTGAGCCATAAACCCTGCTGGTACCTGCAAGTGCTCGTTTGGTTCCTTCCTGAACCCACTCAGAAAGAGTTCAATTCTTCTGAAAAACCCTTGCAAGTGCTCCACGAGGCAGGGCAGACTGTCACGCCCACAGGCCCCCCTCACCTTGAAGCCTGTAGCTGGGACACCTGCCTGCACTGACAGACCAGGGAGCTCCTGCACAGCTGGTCTTTGTCAACGGGACTCCTAACCACACTGTTAATCTTTCAAAATACATTTTATTAGTGGCACATGGAATTTCAAGTTAAGCAATTTCTTTCCAGAGAGAAGGGAAGCCCTGGCAGACTGAAATACTGAGCAGATATGAAATACCATTCCAGTGTGGAGAGAGGCTAATCGGGATGCTCTCTGCTAAGGAAATGACTTTCTTCACCATGCGGGCCACACTGTCCTCACACCCAGCTCAGCGGGGGCCCCGGCACTGGAAGCGCGAGAATGCACTCGGCCACAGCCGCGGCGATGGGAGGCGGAGAGGTCGCGAGCCCCATTACTCACGGTGAGGACCCAGGGGGTCTGCCGCTGCCATGAGGGCTCTGAGCGGCCCCGCTGGCTGCGTGGGGAAACACGGGGTGAGCGGGCTCGTGTGTGAGCCCAAGAAACCTCTCAGACTTGGAGGAGCTCCAGCCACGGTCTCCATGATCACCCTTCATCCCCAGAGTAGGGAGCTACGGGTTACCAGAGGGTCCTTTTAAAGCATCTGGAAACATCTATATTAGTAAGTCAGGGAAGATCTGAACTTTCTTAGAAAAACCAGCCTATCCTCTCCTAGTGCCTTTTACCCAATGTCCTTCTGAGTCCAGTGGAGGCTGTGACATTTTGGGCTCAACTGGACTTCGCCCATTAGCTCTGCTGCTCCTGCCTGCTTTCAGGTACCTCCATGGACTCTCTCCTTCCCACCTCGCCCCTGAGGGTCCTGTCAGAAAGTGCAACCAAGACAGCCTGGGGGGAGGGGGCACACAGCTCTGCCGCTGTGGGGCTGGCGGGTGTCCCAGTTCCAAAGGCACGCCGATGCCAAGACAGTTTCCGTTGGGTTAAGATCATGCCCCTCCTTCTTTCTAACCGAAGACAATGGGACTGCTCCAGAGACAGGCTCAGGCGTCTGCCATCTCCGCTTGTCTTGTTTTGACCTTACTGTGGGCATCTCTCATCACCTCGAAATCCGCCCCTCACCAAGCACTCACGTACTTACTGATCAAGGCAACAAAACCAGTGACAGACCGCAGAGTTTTTCCATCTCTAGCTCTAATTGGTTAAGCTTAAATCTCCACACCAGGAAACTGTCCTTCACCTGCAGGCTGGCGCCTGGGATACAGTCTGCGGGGGCTTAGGGCAGGTCAGTGATGCTGGTCTTGTGAAGGTCGATGCCCGAGTGCAGCTTGCCGTCCTGAGCGGCCGCCCAGGGCATGGACTCCGAGGTCCACTTGACTGCCCAGTCTCCTGCTTTGTTGACCAGGATGACACCACCTAGACCTTTGACCTTTGACTTCATGTAACCCAGCGATATATCAGCAGCCTCTTCTAATGTCTTTCCTAAAACCAAGGAAAGGTTGAGANTGAATTAGTAATTCAGGGAAGATCTGAACTTTCTTAGAAAAACCAGCCTATCCTCTCCTAGTGCCTTTTACCCAATGTCCTTCTGAGTCCAGTGGAGGCTGTGACATTTTGGGCTCAACTGGACTTCGCCCATTAGCTCTGCTGCTCCTGCCTGCTTTCAGGTACCTCCATGGACTCTCTCCTTCCCACCTCGCCCCTCAGGGTCCTGTCAGAAAGTGCAACCAAGACAGCCTGGGGGGAGGGGGCACACAGCTCTGCCGCTGTGGGGCTGGCGGGTGTCCCAGTTCCAAAGGCACGCCGATGCCAAGACAGTTTCCGTTGGGTTAAGATCATGCCCCTCCTTCTTTCTAACCGAAGACAATGGGACTGCTCCAGAGACAGGCTCAGGCGTCTGCCATCTCCGCTTGTCTTGTTTTGACCTTACTGTGGGCATCTCTCATCACCTCGAAATCCGCCCCTCACCAAGCACTCACGTACTTACTGATCAAGGCAACAAAACCAGTGACAGACCGCAGAGTTTTTCCATCTCTAGCTCTAATTGGTTAAGCTTAAATCTCCACACCAGGAAACTGTCCTTCACCTGCAGGCTGGCGCCTGGGATACAGTCTGCGGGGGCTTAGGGCAGGTCAGTGATGCTGGTCTTGTGAAGGTCGATGCCCGAGTGCAGCTTGCCGTCCTGAGCGGCCGCCCAGGGCATGGACTCCGAGGTCCACTTGACTGCCCAGTCTCCTGCTTTGTTGACCAGGATGACACCACCTAGACCTTTGACCTTTGACTTCATGTAACCCAGCGATATATCAGCAGCCTCTTCTAATGTCTTTCCTGAAACCAAGGAAAGGTTGAGAAACAGCTCATTACTTTCAAAGGAATCTGGTGGGAAAATCATTCGTGGTATGAAAAAGCAAAGCGGCTTGATAGGGTTTCTTGGTAAAAGATTTCTATTTGTGTACTTCCAAGAAGGGCTGTCCCCATACAGGCCCTCCTCACGCTGACGGCACCCTGGCACTGCCCAGGCAGAGCCACCTTTTCTCCCTACCCCGGCTCAGAGTGGCTGCTGCCCCTGACATGCGACAGGCAGCATTCTAAATGCTCTCCGAGTCCAGATCCTAAGGGGTAGAGTCAACATAGTGTTACCCTGAAAGCAACACCTGCAGCGAGGAGAAAGGGTTGCGATCCGTCTCCACCTACTTACAAATAGCTTCCATTTACTCGTCTCCGGACCGCATGAACTTGCTCCACGTACCTTGCTGTACGTGGAAGAGAGTGAGTCTGGCTAGATTCACCTTCAGGATGCTCTCCCCGTGCCCCGTTGCTGAAATGGCTCCAATGTCATTGTCAGCGTAGCCTCCGGATCCTGCTCAGAGAAAATGGGTTTTACCTGAGCAAGAGCGAAGGTCAGATACACAGTATGAGTCTAATGCTACATAAATGTTAAATCCCAAAGTGTAGGCAGAGGTCAGAGGAGTAGCCGTGACCTTGGGATGCAAAGGTGGACTAGTAAGCACCATGGGACCGTCCTGAAACCAGAAGATGAAGGGAACCCCGGGTGGGAGTGGGGGGGAGGCCTGACCTTTCCTGGAGCAGCTACACCAGGACGGCTCCTCCTTTGCCCCAAATCCCCCCAGTCTGCATGGGCTGGAACATGCATGACCCCCCCGCCCCCCGGGAATGAGACAGAATCTGCTTCAATCCTCATGCAAAGGGCATTTTAATTTGTAACGTTTCTGTAGCAGCAGTGTATCTAGCCAGGCTCACTTCCATGCCACTCAACTCTAATAACTGCAAACTTAACTTCTCAGCTTTCTTAGCTCATTAATTTGCACCCTTGCCCTTGTGCCCCTTTGGGACTAAGTCTGTACGTCCTGAAACTGGAGCTAGAGAGAAGAAAGAGGCACTGTGGGCAGCTTGGGGGCAACTGCAGCATCCTGATCTCCATCTCCCTCCCCAAGTCACCCCAACAGTGATGCCCTCAAGGGAAAACAGTGCCTGCTGGATTAGAGAGCAGCACTGCAGCCAAGCCCTCCAACCCACTGCCACTCCCAGAAATTCTGTAATGAAGCCAGAGGGGCAGTAAAATCAGGGAATGACAGGAAGGAGAGGAGGCAGGAGTCACCCATCAGCACTACCTATGCAGGGTGTGTCCCCGACTCGGCCGACCATTTTATTCATGGTGCCCCCCGTTGAGGTGGCACAAGCCACGTCTCCTTTGGAGTCCACGGCAACAGCGCCCACGGTTCCCAAGTTTCTGTGAAATGTTAACAGAAAAAAAGGGACAGGATGAAGGTGAGTAACTGTGTAGCTCCAAGTGCAAATTTCCACATTATATGCAAACTGCAAATGGGACACACTTTGACAACAGCATTCCTGGCTCAGGAAACGGCAGAGAAGGCCTGTCTGCTTTTTATTGGGCGAGTCGGTGACGGTCCCTTAGGCCTAAACAGTGAGGGTGCTTCCAGTCCCAGCACTGCCATTCTTTGGCTGTGCTCCTACGTGAAGTTTTATTGTCTCATTTCCCCCATCTATGAAGTGGGGATAAAAATAACAGTGCAGCTCAAACTTGAGCACAGATAATTTCCCTGGGTCCCTGGCCTTCCCCCTGCACTTCCGTCAGCCTCCCAGGTGACGCCGATGGTGCCAGGCCAGACCCCACTTTGCCTGTTTTGAAGGGCTTGCTGTAAAGATGAAATAAGGTAATTTTCTCTACCATTTTGTTGTAAATCTTCAAGTAGAAAAGTTGAAGACATTGCACATAAAACCCCAAGTGTACAAACCGTTCACAGCAATGTCGTTGTAATAACAGCAAACCTAAAACGAGACAAATGTCCACCAAAGGTAAAAAACACACACGAGTCCATTGAGATAAACTTCAGAAACCGCCAATGCTAATCCACGGTGTTGGAAATCAGGTAAGTGGTAGTTTTCTACCTCAATTTTTTTGCACAGGGTGTGACCACTGTCAGATCATTGTTCTTTTCTTTTTATCACTGAAAAGTCTATACTGCAATTGGAAGTAAATGTCTGATTTTCTCAGTAAGTAAAAAAAAGGGGGCGGGGGCCTGAGGGGGAGCTTCTGTGATAATTTTTCTTGCTCCAAGTGCTGATTCCATGGGGGGGCCCACTCCATGTAATCGACACTCATCCAGGCACACGTGACCTATGCGTTTCTGCACGTGCGCTAGCTACACTTTTTATTTTATTTTATAATGGTGGTTGCCTCTTTTTTTTTTTTAAAGATATATCTTTATTGATTTCAGAGAGGAAGGGAGAGGGAGAGAGAGGAACACTGTGGGAAACAGTTGGTGTCCTCAAAATGTTAGCAATGGAGCTGCCCTTTGACCCAGCGATCCCACTTGTAGGAATATATCCTAAGAAACCCGAAACACCTATCAGAAAGAATACACGCACCCCTGTGTTCATAGCTGCATGGTTTACAATAGCTGAGATCTGGAACAGCCCAAGTGCCATCAGTAGATGAGGGGATAAAACAGCTGTGGGACATTCACACCATGGAAGACGACGCAGCTGTAAAGAAGAGGGATCTCTTGCCCTTTGCCACAGCACGGAGGGACCCGGAGAGCGTTCTGCTGAGCGGAATAAGCCAGGCAGAGAAAGACAAGTATCACATCTCACTCATGTGGAATCTAATGAACAAAATAAACTGACCAACAAATAGGTCCAGAGACATGGAGGCATGGAGCAGACTGACGGGGTCAGAGGGGAGGGGGGTGGAGGGGACGGGAAGAGATTAACCAAAGAACACAGAGGCATAGCCCACGGACACGGGCAATAGTGCGGCGAAGGCCTGGGGTGGGGCGGGGGCTGGGTGGAGGGGGCAAAGGGAGGGAAAATGGGGGGATATCTGTAACACTGTCAACAATTTTTTTGAAAAAGGTTCATCCTGCAGTCTGTGATGTCCTAAATTTAATGAAATGAGGTTAGTTGCACAAGCAGGACTCGTCTCCGATTCTGTCTGTCCCCTGTCCTTGCTCTTTCCACTATAGTACCACACTGCCCTGTGAGATTTAAGTAGTTGTTAAGTGAGTGAAAGGGTAGATACCAGCTCCAATATATACACAAAGAAACTGAATATGAGAGAAATAAGTCATTTGAAATCAAAGAACTTGCAAGTCATAGAGCAATACTGTCCCACTTCGAGACNCGGGGGACATCTGTAATACTGTCAACAATGAACCAAGTACACAAGAACTCACTCTCAAATATCAACTCCAGATAGCTAACCACCTAAATATAAAACGTAAAACTAATTTCTTCACGAAAATCTAGTGGCTTTATGTCTCGGGGTTGGGAGATCCTTCTAAGTTTCTCGTCTTACAAACCACCCAAGAAAAGGCACACATTTGATGACAAAAAATAAAAACTTATATATGGCAAAATACCATAGCAAAGTAGAAGATTAAAAACCACAGATTGAAGCCCTGGCCGGGTGGCCCCGCTGGTGGGAGCATCACCCCCTACACCAAAAGGTTGTGGGTTCGATCCCCGGTTGGGGCGTGTGTATGAGGCAACGGATTGATGTTGCTCTCTCACGTCGATGTTTCTCCCCCTCTCTCTTGCACAAGGATTAAAAAAAAGGAGGAATGACCCACAAACACATGCAAAATGCTTAAACTTGTTAAGTCGGAGCAGAAATGAAAGAAACAACAACATTCTTCCCGGATGAGGTAAGAAGTACTCGCAGCTACTGCCGGTGGCCGCCCGCCCCTAATGTGCAAGGGGTCAAGGCAAGAGGACAAAGACAAACGGAGGCCCGCACTCCGTATGTTTAATATTTAGTAGTTACAAATATGTGATAAATGTATCTCAAAATATACTGTACAGCTATGGTTTTCATGTGGCCGGGAGCTGACAAACTACCAGTGATGACTTAATTTTCACTGCTCACATCTGGATCCTCCGCTGATCAGCTGGGGACGCCTGGGTGAGTGAAAAAAGACACACACACAATACATAAGTTGTGTATCTATTCCGTAAAATTAATTTTCCCTGCCCCATATCAGAGAGCACTATGTTCTCATAATCCACATTTCCACACAGGTCGCATGCCACAGAGGAAGTGCTGAAGCGGGCAACCTTTCCTGGGTCCACGCAGCTCTTGGCAAGTTTTTAATTCAGTGGAGTTTGGAGAGGCTTCACTCTGCTGAGGAGCAGCAACTGGCATTTCCAATATAATTCTTAGGTTTTAGCATTTCCACACTCAAATGCTATGTGGGACTACATATGCTAAACTGTTATCACAGAAGATATTATTTTCACTTGATCGCATACATCACAATCACTATTGTCGTCACTTTCACCATCTCTCAAGCAGTATTGAGATCCGTGCAGAATATCTTAATTTCTTTCCAATTTCAATGCTAGTTGACTACAAAGAAAACGGAAAATGGCAGTATGCTGTTCAAACCTCCCTTCAAATGATACTATCCTCGGATATATAATGAACAGAAAAGTAGCTTCTATAGAAACTGGTTTCAGGATTTTGTACACAAACCTTCTCCAAGTCAGGTCAATATTTTTGTTTCCTTGTTTCAATTTTCTTATATTTTATGGGAATATCATTCTTCATGCATATTTCACACGCAGTTTTGGTTTGTTTCTCTAAGCTTAAAATAATATTTTTAATCCTTAAAAAAATGAAATAACCGAAGTTGGGTGTTTCCAAAGCGAGCTGTCAATAGAAATGAACAGCTCCAAACTAAGTAACTGTAGGTAGCATACATTCAAAATTCATTTCACTTTCTGTCAAGGCCCATGATGCGTTCTTTGAGAATCTTCTGTGGTTCTGATCAACTCTTCTTGATCTAAATTGAATTAAATCACTTCAATAGCGTTTAGTTGGTGTTCCCACCATGCGTCTGAGATTCGTTATAAAGTCAGATATGCGTTTAACCAAGCTGCTCCATCTCTGGGCAGATCTGGAAAATCTTGTACTAGACCCTTGTTGTCCCCACACCGTCATCACTGTTGGCCTGTCTCCTAGAAAAAATCAGACTCTGAGCTGTACCTGTCACACAGAATACTTCTGGATCCTTGGCCCGACTCCCAACTCCAAATGTATACCTTTTATTTACTAACCACGTAAGCTCCATTATCATAAGCTTGCCTTCGATCACTTTTAAAAATAATTTTAGTCCAAGATAAAAAGCTTTCCCCAATTTTTCTCTTCATTCAAAATGCGTACTTTAAAAACAGGTGTAAAGTCATTGAAACGCTCATTGATTTAAACTTGTTTTTCCCCTCCGGGTAATGATGCGTATAAAGTTAGTGGTTCAACATGTCTTCTCACTGTGGAACGTTCTAGTTGAACTGAGTATTTAAAAAATTTTACCTATGATTTCATCTCTCACTTATTGCCCATTCAATCTGTTCGTATTATCTATTCTAGATAGTGATTATTAGTTTCATTATTATTTTTCCTAGTTACATGTTTGGCATTTTATCAAATTTTGAAATGTTACTAAACCTAGAAAATTTCTATTGTTTTTCTGTAAACGCTGTGTTGGTGGGACCACGAAAAGCGTCACTAGGCTCAGCTAAATACTGGACACGGTATTGTTCTTTCAGGGACATTACACTGATGTTTTATATCACTGTTTCTCCAGTATCATCAGCGGCCTGTTGTTTTTTCAGCGCCCCCACAGTTCTAGTACCTGCTGTGTCCCCTCCTGTGCGTGATTCTTTGCGACCAGCAGTGAAACCTGCCTTTAGTGAAGACCCTGAGCTGCAGGGGTTTCCTCTGAACTGTCAAGTTGTGGATTTGGGGAGACAGGTTTGCTACTGATTTTCGTTGTTGTGATAAGTCAGTGACTCTTCACTGAGCAAAGAATCTGTACCGCCCTGTTTGTAGATTTTCCGGGGGCCATCCTGGAGGAAGGCCGCTTACTTCTACTGTTTTATTTCTAAAGATGCAAGCGGAGCGCTTCTGGAAGATTTGTCTGCTGCTTTTTTCTTCTTGGTTTTTCTTCCGCGAGCTCTGCTATGGTATTCTTTTTCTATCAAGATCTGGAGACGTACACCCATTCCCGTAATCTAGGGATTAAGAAGTGAAACGCAGTTACATTGACTGTATAAAATTAGACGACAATTTCATCAAAAACAAAGAGAAAAAAGTTGAAAAAATGAAATCTGCAGATACAACTTCAAAAAGTTAGTTTTTTCCTAAAATATATATAATTATCTATTAATATTAAAGTCAAACCATGAATTACATTGACATTTAAAATCAAAATAGCTTAAAAGCTGAAAATTCTAACATTATGCTTTTGAAAATGTAACTAAATCTTTTAAATACTCTTATAAGACTAAAGCCACTCCTAATTCTGTATTCAGTGTCTGTTTAGTGGCCGACATAAAGAGCTGGCTCTCCTCGCAGGTTCTGTCTGGACCTGCGCTGCCCGGTCCAGCAGGCACTGCTCCGTGGGTACCGAGCACGGGAGACGGGTGTCCGCAGCTTCAAACATGTAGCGAGGACAGGGAACACACGTGGCCCTCCGAGAAACTACTTCACCGTGCAGGCCTTTGGCAAGTCACTCATCGCCTTTTCCTCTTACCTAAGCGTCGCTGTGCGGCTCTTCCCCACGCTCCAAAGCAGTGTCCACGTCTGACGTCAGAGAGGCACGATCCACGCACCTTTAGATCAGGTGGCCCTGGCTTCGAGGTCTGAGAGCGAGAGACGGACAGACGCGCTGCCCTGGGGGCTGAATGGTGTTAGTCACGAGTGGACGATGCGGATTGTGGGTCACGCCGTGCATGCTGAGTGCCGGGTGCCCTAGGGGCCTGTAACACACCAAGTGCTTTGTGTATTTGTGAAGTGAGGGTCCTCCGAAGGGTAGGGCCCAGGGCAGAAGCCCGGCGTGCTTTTGCCTTGGAGCAATACTGGCTGGTGGAGATGATGTTGCAGACTTTTTGGAAAACCATGTGGCAACATCTATGAAAAGGTACAGGAGCCATTGATAAAGTAACCCGGTCCCTGGGACTCTAGCCTATAGATACAACAGCACCGGGCCAGGTTATCAATCGGCACCAACCCTGTGAAATGCATTCTTAACCTGGGAAGCTTCTCCCTGATACACCTGCCTGGCCTCTCCACCTCAGCCGTATGAAATTGGATTTTTAGGGAGAGGGCCCAGCCATGTCGAGAGCTCCCTCGGTGATACTGAAGTACACCCCTGGTGAAACGGTACAGATCTAAACAACACGCAAAGGTAACAGACTACATTCCATCATAAACTCCCAGGCCATATCCAAATTTTATTTTTCACATTTTGTTTTGAATAAGGGGGGTTTCATTTGCGATGCTGAACCCTGTAACGCAGAAAACTGTAATTTAGAACATATGGTTAATTCAAACTTCTCAGAGCTGTGCTGATTTCTCTGCACCGTGAAAGAGTGTGGCAGGAAGGTCACAGGCACAGCAGGTGACGACCTGTTGAGTCTACTTGAGATAACAAGCTGGTCACGGAGCATCGGCGAGTTAATACGGTAACATAGGATTATTCTGTCAAACCACGCTGCAGAAGGACCGCTGCTGGCCTAGCTTGAGAGACTACTCACAGCAGTAATAAATGAGGTTAAATTTAAGAATCAAAAGGGCAGTTTTCCCATTATCTAGTGTGCATTATTTTGCTCAAAAACGGAAACTACCGAGTGATAGCGGACCTGTTTAAGAAATGTAAGTAACCAAACCTTTGTGAAACTTTCACACTTGGATAACTCCCCAAATGTGAGCCCCGCGTGGCACCTACTTTTCTTGGTGTGGTTTCTTAGCATCTTTCTTGTGCTGCTCTTTCTCTAGGTGTTTTCTGTTTCTCTCTGTTACCAGCTGCTCCCCAGGAACGGCTGGGACCCCCATGGCGGCTGCAAATTCTGCGGCGCCTCGGTCAGTCAGTAAGCAGTGAGGTGTCTGGACCAGAAAGAAATGGAAACCTGGTTAGTTTTTGAAAAAGTTGAAATTTTTTTAACTGTTCCTACTGCGTGGAGGTAATTACTCCTCTCTCCTGGTACAAAGCCTCAAAAATGCAAATTTCAGTGGCTTACTTTTCCGAATGTTGAAAGGAGCTGGGCTCTGAATTTTGTATTTAAAAAAAAACACACACCCAAAATGATGCTGTATTGCTAGGAATGTGATTTACAGATGATCTTTTATTATTTGACCCTCACTCGAGGATGTGTTTATTGATTTTAGAGAGAGAGGAAGGGAGAGGGAGAGAGAAACATCAGTGTGAGAGAGAACCATTGATTGGTGGCCTCCTGTTTGTGCCCCCACTGGGGACTGAACCCGAAACCTAGGTATGTGTCCTGACTGGGAATCAAACCTACAACCTTTTGGTGTACGGGACGACATTCCAACCAACGGAGCCACCCAGCCGGGGCTACACAGGATCTTAAATTTAGAGAACTTAATCCGTTTTAATTTAACACATGCGATTAAACAGTTGGTCATTCAGTTTGTCTGCATTATGTTCTATGTGTCCAGAGAAGGCTGAGCAGGAAGATTACACGGGAACAAAGTAACCACTGGTCAAGTGACATTGGTTACCAGTCAAATTCCATTGTCTACAGAGTCAGAGCCCTGGCTTATTGGAGAAACTTAGGGTTACTTCTGTTCTTTGATACAATTTTAGAAGGGTGAGCTCAAGTATTTCCCTACAGCCAGACCCCGTGTAGTCACTAACATACAGCAGTGTGGCACCTTAGGAAGGGGGTGCTTTGGTCACCAAACCTTTTCCATAACAAGCCGTGCAAGCTTAACGGGATTTGCGATACATCGGACCGCAGACACGGCTCCTGAAGACAGGTCTTTTCCATTCATGATACTGGCATCCATTTCAACTTCACCATTTACGTTCAAGACAGATCCGCAGCCTAAACCCAAAACGAAGGTGAAAGCAAGAATTAAGAATTTAGAAATGGCTTCTGAGTGTCCTCTAAGCTGCCTACTTCAATTCATTCTCCACCTCGTTGCCAGAGGAACATTTCTTAAAACAAAAACCTGACTTGGAACCCCATGGCCTTCCTGACCTGGCCTCCGACTCGCTTTTCCAGCTGCAGCGCCTCTCCTTGGCTGCAGGTTCCTCTGAACGTGTCATCTGCTCTCACTACCCTGCCCTTGGCAATGCTGTTCCCTTTGCCACCAGAAGACACTCATTTCCTCTTTATTTATTTTATTTTTTGTTAACCCTCACCCAAGGATATTTTTTCCCTTGATTTTTACATCCCCCCAAAAGATGTAATAATAATAATAATAATAATAATAATAATAATAATAAAAAGGCCTCTTGGGATGTGAACTATAGGAAGCAGGTTAAAGAAAGAAAAAAAAAAGTCTGGAAAGGTTTAAAAATTCTTCAAGCACAACTTGGTCGAACAGGTAATAAAAGAAAAATCCAGCCTCTTGAGCGCAGTAAGCGCCCCCGCAAGGCTGCACCCCGGGGCGCTCCGGGGCGGCTCTAGCTA